TCTATGGTAGCAGCTGTAGTAGAACTCGAAGCCTGAGAACCCATGGATGAAGACTTCTATCCAGACACCTTTTTGGCTTGCAAGCGGCGGCACTCAGAAATAGTATGACCAGTCTTCTTGCAGTAATTGCAGAAAGTCCGTTTTGAAGATTTAGTTGAAGAAGTAGCAGATGTACCCAGAGTAGCAAGAACAGCATCAGTAAATAATAAGGATCGCTCATCTCGAAGTGTTTTTAGAYDAGTTTYTTCAKAAAGCAAATMTTTKATCACAACTTCAAGAGAAGGCAATGGGCTACGATGAAGTAGAGTACCACTAATAGGTTCATACTCATCCCTAAGAGTCATCAGAAGATGCCAAACACATTGGCGATCACGAAGTTTGGAATAAGTAGTAGCTGCAGAAGGACTATCCCATTCAGGTTCACACTGTGCTAACTGATCCCAAAGAACTTGTAATTCAGAGACATAACTGTGAATGGTCTGTCCAGGTTGCTACTTCATACGGTGAAGACGCCTATAGAGCTGAAATTGATGCACATCATCAGAAATAGAATAACGGGCTTGTAAGAAATCCCATACCTCTTTAGGAGAGTCATATCTGCAAAATTCCAACTTGATGCTTGCAATACAAGTATTGCGAAACCATGTCAATATTTAATGATTTTTCCCGTCCCATTTTTCTATTCGTTCAGCAAATTTATCTTCTGTTTCATCAACAATTTTAGTAGGTTTAGGAATCTCACCAGTCACATATCGCCATAAAAGGCGTCCCTTGAGAAAACTGCACATCTCTTGGGACCATAAATCATAGTTTGAGCCATCGAAGGTAACAGTGATGGGATGAGAGATATGTTGAGTAGCTTCAAATGAATCCATGAGGAGAAACACAGATCTTTGGAGCAACATGAATTACGAGAAAATACTGACCTTAAAAAAAAAAAGAAAACTTCGCAAAATCCCTAATGTCTTCTTCGTAGGGGCAGCCTCAGTTCTRGTACACGCAGATGCTGACAAAGGTTCTGCACCTACGTAACCTTCCTTTCTAATTCGCAGACCACAGGATGTGAACCGCTGGTTTAAGCAGCGGGTTTGTCTGGCTTAAGCAGAAGAAAGGAACGCAGTACACCTAATGCAGCACACCTTCAAGCGCATCGGGAAGCAGGTCTCGTGCGCGAATGAGATCACCGGTTTGGTACTTCTTGAGGAAGCTCAAGAAGTTCTGACGAAGAGGAAATTCGACTGCGTCAATCAACGACATGACCGGATTTCTTCCAAGAGGAAATTCAACGACTATGGTTCTTCTGACGAAGATTTCTACGACTTAGTCTCCGTAAGAATGAAGAGAGACGAAGCTGATGTCGTCAATTCCTCTAGAGTAGAAAATGAGACTCGATTATCACCTAGTGGCAAAGCCGATGATGAATCTTCCGGTCTTGGAGTTTGATTTACCGAGGGTAGCAGCTCTAGTGGGAGCAGACGCTCGCCGAGTGCTCGATCCAAAACGACGTGGGGCTCCAGTTGGTTGGACAGATGAGCTTCTAAAGCAAAGGCTCTGATACCATGATACGAAAACAAGAAAGACGAATAGAGAAGATAATAATTTCTCTACTATCAATTCAATAGATTACAGCTCTATTTATAATAGAGCGAGATACAATCAGGAAACTAGGTCGGCGACCTAAAGTAGAATAATAAGAGATATGTACAGCTAATTATCTCCTAGAAGTAAGGAGATAATGATACTAATTTAGATGGAATACGCTATTGTTAACACATCATATTATTTTTTTTCTCTTATTCTTTCTTAGGTTGGTAGCTGTGCGATTAATATCGATATGTCCGATATATCAGTTGTGGTGTATCGAATAGTATCGATAGCTTTTATTAATTTTTTTCGAAACTAATTTAAAAGGACCGATTTAACCAATCGAAACCCTAAAACACCCCTGTAAGAACATATCGAAAAGCCCCCGATACAATATGTATATGGCCCTATCGATACTTTGAACCTTGGCGTCCTATCTCTAGGGCTGGCTCTAACATTCTTACCCTTCCTGGATTTTGCACAGAAAAATCATCCGCCTCTTTACCACTAGAGTACCTTCTCCTTTCCTCCAACCTCTATATCTCTTCTTGCTTCAGTGACCTGGCACATCTTGCCTGGAAAGTGATGACCCCCGACATTCTCTGACACGGTTAATTTAAGTTTGAATCTACTACCAATAAGACAAGACGCTACAAACACAATGTCCAACATGATCTATACACACATCTCAAAACCGCCTCTAAACTACCACATATCAAACAAAATGAAAACGTATAACTAATCAAATACAAAGCATGTTTGAGATGCGCAGCCAAAGATAAGGAAGCTGTTTTAGTATCTGATCCCGGCTCAGTTTATAAGAGCCTATTTTGTTTCCACCTTTCTAATTAGTAATTACCAATATAATTATGGCTTAACAATGAGCTGGGATTGGCCTGGCCTGGCCCAGCCCACACTAAAAATTTAGCACCCATCAAAGCTGCGGCCCACCATTCAAATAGTGTAGATATAAGTAAAATTGGTTTAAAATATTAAACCAAAAAAAAAAAAAAAAACTGTTGGGCAAATGTAGTTTTTTTCTAAATACCCTCAAAGCCTCAACCTATTATATATCATCAAGTTCATCACCAACAATGCAGGCAATCCGCTTCTAACACAGTTCTTCCGTTTCGTATCTCTTTAATTTCTTATTCTATTGACATTCAAACCAGGATTTTCATTTTATAAGGTGTAAACAGTAATATTGAAGTGGCCTCCATGGGTTCGGAACTCGATAGCAACTCCACCAACTACTGCTCTTTTCATGCCGAATGCCGAGGAAGTTGATGCAACTAAGAGAGAATGGGCAGTTAAGTTTTCCGTTGATCTTATTATTATTTATTAATTCGCTTAATTTTGATTATAAAATCTCATCTTAAATCTTAGCACACTCCTGACGTCACCACAAAGCAAATTAAAATATAAAGAAACAAAGAAATCACGTAATATTAAAAAAAATGGTTTGGTCGGCGAGTCAGTGTTTTCAAAATCCGGAACCGGTCACTTAATTGGATCTATTTTATCTCAAAACCGTTATTTGGCCAAAAACCATTGATTTGGTCAATAAATCATTGACTCGGGTGATCAAACCGTTCGACTCAGAAACTGTTTTTGGCCATTTATGGGTTTCTTTTTTTAATTTTCAAACTTTTTTTAATCAGAGCGGGCCGTCCATTCAGATCGGACGGTCGGACCATTCGACCCAGGAATCAGACCTAGAACGGTTCCCTGTTCAGTTCGATTTTAAAAACCTTGCGGTAAGCTTTTGCAATGGGTTCTTTTAGGTTGTATTTGGTTTGAAGGAAAAAAAAATAGAGAAAGTAAGGAAAATGTAGGGAAACCTTTACAAACTTTGTATAAGTTTCTCTATGTTTTCCTTCCTTTTCCTTCAAATCAAACATAGCCTTAGATTTTACAGCCTGTTCAATGCCCCCCCCAGGCCACACCACATTGAGATTTAATTAATTTAGATTTAGATGCTGCAATTTAATGTTTAATTAAAAAAATCCCCAGGGAAGATAGAGGGTAATTAAACTAATTGTTAGATTTCTGTTGCAACATTGAGAGGTCAGATACTGCATGTACCTCTGCAACAAGAAGGTCGGTAGGAAAATTCCTAAAGCAACTTTAAATTTGGTTAAGCTCACTACTGAAAGTAATGGATCGGAGCAGATTGGTATTTTAATTTATAATTAGACCTTTCCACGTAATTTGCCATTTTGGCTGTGGAAATGCCAACATGATCAACATCATACGTAAAACAAATATATGATTATTAAACAGAATTAAGTAATCATAAATTTTGTGTTGACAGATTCAAAACTGGATGGCACAATGCCCATAGGGAAAAGTACAGAACCTACAAGTATATATGGACGCGGATTTATATGAGAAATTAAACCTCCTACCTGTTCAGAGATTTTCTTTTACAAATCTAACGATACCAAGTAATCATTAATATTAAAAACAGTCTTTTATTCGGACCCACTAATATTTTGAACTCCATCTAATTCATACATCAAATAACTTGATTTTTTGGGTAAGTTACATGAAATATCAAATGACAGTGATCAGAGCAGTTCATGTGTCCATGGTGTAAATATTGGGGCCTCTACCTAATGGGTCATGGCCCTTTTAAATTAATTTTGGGTTTATTCTGAAAACAATGTATTTATTGGTTTAATCACGAGTTTTAATTGATTCAGATCGACTTCAAATTTAGGGTCTATTTGGTTTATGGGAATAGGGGTTTAGAATTACAATTGGAATGGGCCATTCTAATGGAATTCCATTTTTATTTTTGGTAGAATGACACACTTTTCCATTTAAGAGAATGGGAACACACCATTCCTTAGAAATAAGATTTTAGTCCAGCTGGGATACTTGAAAAATCTAAATCTGTATAATATTTATTGATGCAACAACCAGSTGATTCCAATCTGCATCATCACCCAACAAAAAATGGCCATCTGCTTCGCTTACTAGACCTCACACTCCCACGTACTAAAGCATGTTTTGCAGTACTGGATGATAATCTCTTTACGTTAAAAAAAAAAATTGATATTTGAATAACAGGGATTAATTGAGAAGTTTCTCAATGATCTTAGCTTATTGACTGGTGTGTTTTACTGTTTTTTCCTTGAAGAAGAAGTTTAAGAGAAACCTCCAGTAGTCGTCATCTCATAGCCTTATCAAATTAGAAGAAAGAAAAAACAAAACTTTTTTAGTTTCTTGATTGACTTCAACTTCTAGTCGTTGAGTAATGGAACAACAGACAAGAATATAAGATTCATGCATTAATCATCAAGACATTTAAAATATACATGCATTAATTCGTATAAATTAACATCTTCTGATCTTGAATCTTCCCTTTCTCCCTCTCCTCTCTCTCTCTCTCCTCCAATTACCAAATACCAATGGCACCACCAGCTTCGACCAAAATCATTGACTCTGCCTTTTCCCGCAGTAGCCCATATGCTCTATCTTACACAAATCCTGAGCAGAAATGGCTCATCCGAGAACACCTCCTCTCCCTATTACACGACTTCCCCACTCTGTCCCCCTCGGCTGACACCTTCTTCCATGATGATGGCAACATCGTCTACATTCTAAATGCAAGCGGCCACCTCCCAATCTCCAGTGCAACACCTCCCGTTCCTCTCACCATCTGGCTCCATCAGGACTACCCCTTTTCTCCTCCTATTGTCTTCCTCTCACCCACTCCCACCACCCCACTTCTCCCTCTCCACCCTTTCGTACATCCCTCTGGTCTTACTACCTCTCCCTACCTCAATACCTGGCGCTACCCTCACTCCAACCTCTCCGACCTTGCACACAACCTTGTCTGCCTCTTCAGCCACCACCATCCTTTCTTCTCTCCTTCAGCCTCGTCGTCTGCAGCCACCTGCAGGTTCACCCACCCTGCCCTTGCCTCGAAAGTAGAGGCCATTGACGGTCTCTTTGGGGCGATTCTCTGTGACATGCTGGACTTAGGCGCCAAAGCAGATGATGATATACACGAACTAATGGCTTTACAAGCTGAGCTGCTTGCTCGAGCCGATATCATCACAACCATGTTACTGGGGCTTGAACATGAAAGGACAACTTTGATACGGAGGGTGAAAAAACTGACAGAGGAATCAGACATACTGATAAATTGGTTGAAAGTCAATGGATCCAACGCTGTTGTCGCTACTTCCGAGGATGATATGGAGGCATTTGAGGCTGCAGATGAGGAGTCGAGAAGCTTGCTCGATTCTGTGGCAGCAGACCTGGCCATAGAGGATTGTATATATGAATTGGACAGAGCAGTGGAGAGAGGGGTAATTACTTTTCACCAATACATCAAGCAGGTAAGGGCCTTAGCAAGAGAGCAGTTCTTCTACAGACTACAGGGCTAGACAGATGAAACCAGGAGCTCAAACTTCTGCTTGAATTAAGGGTCCATTCTCTGAATATATATACTGAAATCTAGTGATTGTCCATATTTCCTCCTTTTCCTTCTCAGTCTTTTTAGTTTCATATGAGAGGAAAAGTTGGGTTTCGTCTTGCTTTGATTAGATTGACTAAGGTATATATTAATTGTATGGAAATTGAGCAATTGATCATATGTAAATATTTACATAATCAATATTTTATATATTAGTGAAGGTGGTGTGATGATTAATTTACCCACCGAAAAGAGGAAAAGGCTTTCTGCATTTTTTTTTTATTTCCCCCTGGTGTTCTTAGTTAATTATAGTAATTAATTTATATTATCTTTCCAAATCTGGATAATAAGGATTAAGAAATCCCATTACCCCCACCAAATAAAAATGAGTAAAAAAGTAAAGGGTGATCAACTTCCTTCTCATATTCAAGTTAAAAAAGTGCTGCTGGTTGTTTAAGAATAACTGGGGTACGTCCAAATGCTAAGATAATATGTTCGTTGATGGAGGCTATAGAAGCTAGCTATTAAACAATTCTCATGTTTATCTAGAAATACCCAATCCCCAACCCCAGTATCTGTCTCAGCACGTGCACGTTATTTATTTATTTATTTATTTATAATTGGAGGGAGGGGGATAAACATCACATCAATTCCTGAGGCCATACATATTTGGTTTGATAAAAAATAAGAAAAAAAAAACAGAAAATTGGGACAAAGTGGTAAACAATTTTTTTGAGATTGCTTAAGAGCTTAATTTCCTTAACACTCTCTTATTTTGATATTTTCTATCAAACCAAATACAGACTAATGGAATATGAAATAAGGATTCACAGCCACATCTGCTATAAGAATGAAAATGAATCAAAGTTATACTCAAACCTTTACACCAAATCGAAAGTTTTCATTATTTTGCTCTTGTGTTTGATTTGCAGTACAATTTTATTAAAATAAGATAAAATTTGAAACATAAATAAATCAAAATTTATATTTAAACCATTTGCACTACCATAATTTTGCACCAAAGCAAATTTTTTTGCTGTGCAACCTAATGCAGCCTTAGGCTCCATTTAGGAAGAGTGCAGGTGCAAGTATATATTCAGTACAAATAATACAAATTGCATGATTTTTAAAAATGACCCGGAGATCGAACCGGTCAGGGGTTCAGTTATCGGGTTGAACGAGAATGGTTGGCTCGTTCTGACAAAAATTTAAAAAAAAAAGTCAAAACCGTTCGAATGGTTCAAACAGTTAACCGCTTGGGTCAGCGTTTACTGACTAAAATCAATGGTTTTGGGCAAATTTTCGGTTTTGGAAAAAACTGAAACCGATCACCTGACCAGTTCCCGGTTTTTCCAGTCCAATCCGGTTTTAAAAACCATGACAAATTGAGCCTATGTACATGAGTGGTACATATTAGTATTTGGACTGAACATATTTGTATTTATACTCTTCCCAAACAGACTTTATGTACAGTTTGAGAATTGAGAGTTCACCGTGCAATGCAGGTGGTATATATATATATATATATATATATATATCCATTACTGTCATTGAGAGTTCCTCTCCCTATATAATGTAATTTGAATAAATCCCACATTTTATAAATTGGGCAACAAGGCAATCCAAATTCCATCATTTTATATTTGGATTGAATATGAATCCATGTGTATGTAACCAATATCAAACTCACTTAAAGATATAAGGTTCTGATAATTTTCAATTTAATTTAATAATGCTATCCAATATCTGGATAGTTTTGATCCAAATGGATTATCCAATTCAAATCCAATCTACTTGCATCCCTAAACCAAGCAGCACATCCCTAATGAAAATACAAAAAATAGTCTGCTTGTATGATGATAAAAATTAAAAAAAAAAAGGCTACAACCTACGTGTGCCTTTCAAACATGTACTATTTAATTTACTAATAGTTTGTGGTCTCTGTTTCATTTATAAATTATAATGTTAGTAGTGTAGAAGAAAGCTTATATCGCTGAAAAGACATAGCACATGCAGCATCAAGTGGATCCCCAGAAAGGGTGTCAAAAATATTTATATTGGATTGGATCAATTTGGTCCAAAATATTTATTAGATTGGACTGGATCTGGTTCATCCATAACAAATTTATATTGGATTGGATTGGATTAAGCCAATATTTGGTCCATTGATATTTTGGAATGAACAGGTTTGAATTGAAATCAATTTAAAATAAAATGAATTTGAACAGATTGGATGGTCCAAACATTGAATTGGACAGATCCAAATTGGTCTAAAACATTCATTGGATTGGATTGGGCCCGGTCCATTTATAATGGACTCACATTGGATTGGATCGGATTGGACCAAATCCAGTCCAATGACACCCCTAAATTCCCGAATCGAAACACAGACCTTACATTATATGTTCAAGCGGAAGTCTTCACTTACACGCTCAAAGGTGTATTTTCATTCATGATCACTCACAAGTAACCACCAAACCGTCCCATTCAAAGTAGTGTTACCAAGGTTCAGTTTGGAATGAGTATAAATACAAATATGTAAAGTGCAAAATTTTATATTTTGTATGTATTTGCACCATATATATTTGTATTTGTATCTTTCCAAACTGAGCCCAAGGTTCAAAGTATTTGATGCATATAAGATAAAAAAAAAATGTGTTTTTAGGCCACAATATTACGGTTTTTTTATTTTTCAACATGATGTTTTAAGATTATGTAAGGGTGTTCAAGAATATGGTTGGTTTTGTTTTTGAAAACAAAAAACAACTGCCACATCAGTAAAATCGTACTGTTTTTTGCTGACATGCTAGTTGATTTTGTTTTCAAAAACAAAACCAACCATGTTGTCGAACACCCCTGAAGTCATACAAATTAAGGAACCAGGAGTAGATCCAATAAGTGATGCTTTGGTTATGCGCATAGAAGACCAGCTATAGCACCTATTAAAAGAAGTCATATGTCTCAAGTTGAAAGGCCTAAAAGAAATAGGGACAGACCAAAAGGGGCCTGAGTGGAAGTAGTAAAAATTTTTGGAAAAATTCCCTATTAGTACCATGCATGTACTTTGGGCCTACTGCGATTTTGATCCCCGAACTTTAAAATGTGACAATTCAGTACCTGAACTTTTAAAATGTGTCATCAATGCAGTACCAGCAGTTAATCAATCGTTAAGTGGTATTTGAAAAGACAAAAATGCTTCTTGAGTGTCATTAATTTTCTTTATTAACCATCCAAATGTTGACAAAAAAAAAATGAACAATCCCAAATCTTTGCCTTTTCTATCCAAGAAAGTTGGGGTCACCAGAATGCCCACTGAGATGTGACCTCAACCTTCTTGAATAGAAAAGAAAATGATTTGAGACTGTTCATTTTTTTTTTGTCAACATTTAGATGGTTAATAAAGAAAATTAATCACTCAAATTGATAACACACTTTAAAAGTTCAAGTACTGAACTGTCACATTTTAAAGTTCAAGGACCAAAGTACAGGATAGTAGTCAGGAATTTTCCCAAAAATTATTTAAGCATTCCATAGTTTGACAATGAATATGGCCTGAATTGAATGGAACAGAATGGTGAAATAAGATTGATGTAGCTCACCCCAACCCCTCTCTCTTGACTGATGGAAGCACCATTTCTGATTCCCTCCTTTCGTTTAGATTTATTTGTTTTGATTTATTCTATCTTTTGTATGCACTGCGGCGGAACTTTTTGTGTCCAAAGTACTTGGAAGGAAGCTGAGTTAATGGCAATCTTTAGGGCCCTCTCTAAAGCTCAGGAATTGGGTTGGATAAATCTCCTAATATGTTCCTATGCCAAACTCGTCATTGATAGCCTCCATTCTAAAGCTACATCTTGTCTCCCAGACTAAAATGTTTTACTTAATTTGATGGGATCAGATGTGTTAACTCATTTTTATCGCACTGCTAAAGTTTTGGCCCATATGGTGGCCCAACGTGCAAAAACTCAGGCTCAGCAATCTTGTTTCTTTTATGACTCCCCTCCAAACTTTGTATTTTTGGCTGATCCTGAATGAAATTATTTTGCCCAGACAAAAAGAATAAAAAAAATTAAATCGTATCTTACTTTGCAATATTTTGAATGTTGGATATAATACTGCCCAATCAAAAATTATATCCAAATAGATGCTAGCAGTTATTTGGTTTTATAAAACGAAAAGCTCACTAAAAATAATTTCTGATCCAGCCATTAGAAGTTATCTTATCCAAATTTGTTTAGAGTCGCATGCGTCATAATCGCCTAAATAGCGTTGGACTTTGGAGTGTGTCAGATCTGCAATACTCACATAATTCAAATGCTTTGATTCGTGATTTATATTTTGAGCAAATTGTTTTCCTTCCAAAATGCAGACTTCATATATATATATATATATTATACCAGTCACTGGATCAGATCATTGGATGGATCCTTTCTCTGTTTCTTTGGATAAACTTGTATATATATTATAGAAAAAGAAGCAGACAAACGTTGCCTTCCACTTGTTCTGCAATTTTCAGACACACCATTTGAATTCAGAGATGACAGTATGACACATACAAGTGGGCCGCTTTGTAATTAAGCTGCAACCCATGTTTGTCAGTTTTTGCTGTTGCTTCCACGTAGAAAGACAGGCACCTCAACTTTTTCAACAAAGTTCAGTCCTGTCTTATCCCAACCTTGAGGACAGAGGTGAGAGGACCACAAACCACAAAGGTCAGAAACTCAAAAGAACTCTATCAGCGGTGGCTTAGCGATACATTTATGCATCCTTTACTTGAAATTTCTATATGATTCAATCAGTATTAAAGCAGTCCAATCCAATCCAGATGCGCCTTAATTTTTCGAGGACTATTTTGCAATACGGTTGGATGATTTGATGTTTCATTTCCATCTTAAATATACCATTTCAAATTTTCAATTTTGTTGTTAGTAAATAGTAAATAAGGCTCCTTTGTCTGCGGTTCATTTGTATTAATGCAAATGAATGCATGCAACTAAGGCACTGTTTGGTTGCAAATTTGGCATCTGGTTTGGATTTGAACCGCAAAAAAAGTAGAACCTATAAGAACCAGTATTATAACTAATTCTTATTTATATACCTTATTTTTATCACAGTTAAAATGAATAATTAAAATAGTGATGAATAAGATAAATTTATGTGGAAGGCTTGACCAGTAGGTTGCAAAAGAATCATCCACAAATTCCATAGAAGCACATTAATGAGAACCACTACAAAGAAGTGGATGGATGTTGACTTTGACATTTTGTCTTAGTCCAATTCCCAGAAACACAATGCCCTTCTGTGTAATTTATACATTCCAATCTACCATTCCAAATATTGCAGGTAAGATTGTTGAACCAATATCAAGCTGCTGAGAGATTATTGTGTTCTTAAAATCTGGGTAAGTTCCAGAGTTTCATCAATGAAAGATTTACCTCTTGGAGCTCTTTTATTTTGGCCAATCTCCCGGGCTTTGAATCAACAAATATTCATACGTTCATTGACAGAGGCAACCCACCACCGTGACATCACTCAACTTCTAAACAGTTAACTGAAGAAAACAGTTAGGTTTGTCAACATGCTATAGACAATCGCAGACTTTACGAAGTATGTTGTCATTCAGGACTTGGTTTTCATGCAAGGCATCATCTATACTTCTAGCTATGCTCACTATACTTTATAAAACTATAGTACCTTAATAATCTTGTATATATCAATAGAAAAAAAATGAGTAGGAAGGGGTAGCCCTAGTATATACATGTCTGTGTTATGTTACTGCTGCAAGTTACATTGTGTCTTCAAGAGTAGCAAGTCACCATGTGAGCATGGTCACCCAAAAACATAAGGTCATGTCTAAAATTAATCTCTATGTTACATAGGGAACTGGATATCCAGCGCCCATACAAGTCTACCTGATCTGAAATATCCGTCTATGGTAAGAATTTCTGGACCACCACATAAGAATTCCCAAGAGGCTTCTGTCTCTACTGATTCTACAGCCTTCCTAGCTCTTTGATCTCAGTCGACCTTTTCAAGAACATAGAAGATTGCCATTGATTACATTGACAACCATCATTTAACCAAACTTCATAACAGTGACTTGCACGAAGAATTCACCCATTTAAAAAGAACAAAACTACAAGAGAGACAGTACCATATTATCCATTCATTGACACATAAAATAGGAAGCTCACATTCGTTATTATATCATTCAACAACAGAGACCCACTCTCAAAATCTAGAGTAATACATGAGAATAAAACATTCCTTTCATACACCAAAATGGTAATTATAAAAATGAAAAGGACCATATGCCTGACCTGCATCATGAATTATTACTACTGTCTGTACCCAGTTCATCCCTGCCAACATGATAAGGTGGTATTGAACATAATACTAAGCATTTTGGTGCAACCGTAGATGTTGATTGGATTCACCAACTTCATTCTTTGCCATCAGCTGCACGTAGTGAGCCAAGTTGAACAGGTGCTTGCGTTGCAACCACTTTGGATGACCCATAAACAACAACATCAACACCCTGAGCCTTCTCCTTCTCAATCTGCTCCTTGATCCAAAAGTAAGTGATTCTCAACCCATCCTGCAAAAACACAAAGATAGGAATGCCCAAGATCATTAAGCATGTCAAAGACTGAAGTACTGAACAAGCCAGTCAAAATTCTCCTTGCACTTACCTTCAATCTCATAGTTGGAGCCCAGCCAAGTTTCTCCTTAATCAGAGTATTGTCTGAATTGCGTCCCCGCACACCCTCTGGGCCAGGAATGTGATGGATTGGAATATTCTTGTTCTCAAAGCTAAGGACAATTTCTGCCATTTCATTCATGCTAACCATTTCATCACTCCCAATATTCACAGGCTCCCGGAAATCTGWCTTTGTCAATCTAAATACATATAAAAGTTAATGCAGTTAACAAGAGTGCAAAGAAAACATTATAAGAACAGAGCTTGAAAAGATACCAGTGAGATAGATATTCAGTTCAGAAATAACCTTAGAACACCTTCTACACATTCATCAATGAAGGTGAAAGACCGTGTCTGGAGTCCATCTCCCCACATCTCAAACTTATCAGTGGATGTAAGGACCTTCCGACAGAAAGCAGCAGGGGCCTTCTCCCTCCCACCTACAATTGGCGAAAGCAATGCAGCATATATCAATACATGGCCAGTGAAACAAATATACCAAATAAATATGAACTCCGGCATGTTTACGATAACCTTTCCATGTTCCAAAGGGTCCATATATGTTATGGAACCGTCCAATTCGGCACTCAATTCCAAAGTCCTTTGTGTAATGTTTGCACAGCTCTTCTGTTGCGAGCTTCTCCAAGCCATAAGCATCTTGAGGCTACAAGAAGATTAAAAAAAGGATTAAATCCCATAAATAGTCAGTAAGATGAAATCAATAGAAACATATCCAACTTCTTTGAATTAATTATGGACAGCAAACCTCTGCAGGCCAGGCATCAGACTCCTTCAAGCTCACATTAGTTTCCAACTGCTTAAATTCAGGGTAGATGCAAGCACTAGAAGCATAGAAGAACCTACAAAACTCAACATATAATTCAAATATTAAGACATTCAGACAAAAACTGCATCAATTGGTAACACAGTAACAATATCCAGAAACCAGTTCTCAAACAGAGAGTGCAAACATGATACAGTCAAGTGTTATTTCCAGGTTAACAAACCTTTTAACTCCATTGATTCTTGCAGCCTCAAGCATGTTGAAACTGATCATTGTGTTGTTGTACATAATAACTGAATGGTTAGACTGAATGAAACCCATCCCTCCCATGTCAGCAGCAAGATTAAAAACGTGATCAACCCCAGTTGTAACCTTTAAGCAGTTATCCATCACCCTGAGATCAACAAGATGGAATTCATGACAGAACATATCTTCGGTCATGTGTTCATTTTTCTTCCAGTCAGAAGCAATGATGTAATGGCCTTCACTCTTCAACCTCCTTGCAATGTGGGAAGCAATAAACCCACCAGCTCCAGTAATGGAAATTCGGAGCTTCTCCTGTGGCCAGTATGGCTCCCTCTCCAGATTCTCGTATGTGTATGCCCCATAGGTGGATCCATCGGTACTCCCCATTCTGCTGCACTCAATAATTCAGACAAAAGATGAAAAGAAAAAAACATAACATAGATACAATCCGCAACCCTTGATAAAGAGAGAACAAAACAAGCAACGATAAACTATCTCTTAGTCTTACCATCATCACCATATCCAGCCACAGTTAAGAAAAAGGAAAAACAAAGAAAAATAAGCAAAGCTATATTAACAGAGATGCAAATGCAGATGGAAAAAAAAAATAGCTGAACCAAATGAAAACCTTGTAAAGGCCTATAGAGTACCAACTATCTGAAGAAGAGGAAGAAACACACCGTCTAGAGATACAGATAATTACGAACAAAATACCAAAATGCAACCTCATCCACCCATTTGTAATCTATATCCCAGCACTAAAACATTATTAAAGCACTACACTAAACTAATAAAATAGAGATCGGTATAGATATAATAGCAAAAGAATTTCATCTCAACACAGAAAAAACTTCAAACACGCTTACACTCTTCTTTCCCATCTACAAAGCAAAATTCCAAGAGCCCGTATAAGCAAAGGAAAAAATACTGAGAAGCTTCATTAAATCAAGTAAAGCAAACTAAAAATTTAGGGAAATTAAAAAGAAGGAAAGGAATTAGCAAAACAGGAGCAAACAAAGGTGCAACACAAAGAATGAACACGTTTTATCAGATCAAAGACATGATCTAATGCAATGAGTGAACAAAAAAGATGAAGAAACAGAGCATCTATGAACGCTACCTCCACCGCCACGAAACTAAAAGATATAAATGAACCCACTACTCCATTAACATTGTCGGACATATCTATGCATTACAACGACATAGCAAACAAACGACCCATAACAACAAATCAACCATCCAAATCACAAATCACAAAAGACCAGAGTAAGCACGGCAAGCAAAACCCAGAAGACAAAAACACTAGGACTCAATGTTTACCTCTAAACGTAGAACTCGAAACCTCGGACCTCAAAGAGACGCAGAGAACAGAAAAGTCGGCGCGATATCGCTTGAAGAAACTCAAATGGATCTCAGCTCCAATCTCCCAGCGTTTTTTCCTATATATAGAGAGAGAGTGTGCTCAATGCCCAAGTGCGCTCTCATCTTCCTTTTTTTTTCTTTTTTCCCCAAAAATTAAAAAAAAAAAAAAAAAAACCTTTGTCATTTTAAATTTTTATTTTATTTTATATTTAAATGGTTGCGTGAGTGGAGTGAGTGGGTGCGAATTGGCCGCCACTGGCAGTGGGACTGTCCTTCAACGGAGACGATTGACGCGAATGGTAATTAACATGCCTCGTGATAGGTTTGCCCTATCCAAACATACGACGGGATGCACTGAACCAAAAATTAAGAAACTAATAAAAAACTGAAATATATTTTTTTATTAGCTACTTGTTCTTGTTCATTTCTTCACTTCAAAATCCATATGCCAAAATTGAAATTTGAAATTTCTGCAGGACTTATCTCTAATGAGATAGGTGCTTATATTAAATATAGAATTACTGATTTCTTTTTCTATTAAAAAGGAATATACTTTCCCATTAATGTTGGATTTTAGTGAATCACTATTTCAAGCATGTGTTTGAAAAAAATTACGTTGGGTTTAATTGACAAATTTAGCCTCCAATGATTACAGCAATTAGGTTAATTGACCAACCATTAAATTAAATAAGCTACGGGTAAACCTTTTTTAATAAATATTCACTGTTTTTATGAATCCTGTTGGGCCAACCCGTGCTATTTAAAACTGTATCCATTTGTAATATCGAAAATGAAAAATCTCAATTGCTATAATTAGGTATTGTTTGTGCTGCACAAAACCGAGTGCAAAATCTAATTTGCTATTATCTTGATGTCACTTTGTTTTGCTTGTTTGGGATAAGTAAATTTGGTGGTAAAATAATATGGTCCCCACTTTACATGAAAGAAACTGCCTGCTTTGAAGGAATAAGGTTGTAAGAAAATGGACATGGTTGCCATTTTGGTTTCGTTTTGAGTCGATAAAATGTATATTGCCTTTGATTACTAAGGTGATGTTTTGACATCAATGCTGTTTCTTCTTTATTGTTACAAAAGCAAACCTTAGGACTAAGGTGAAAAATCAGCTTTGAATCACAAAAATCGGGATCACTGATTTTCCATTGATTTCCTGAAAATCACAAAACTTGGCCAACCAAACAAAAAATTTCAGCGCCAATTGCTCTAGCACTGACATGGTAGTGATTTTAGGAAAATGACATCAATTGACTAATTTCAAGTGCAAAGTTTATTTATTTCAATATTCTTCATTTGCATTCTTACGAAATACAACCTTTAGTGACAAATGTAAATAAATGTGTAAATATAAATCTTGGGGATGTTTGGCATTGATGCCTATTTCCTTAAAATCAATGTCATATCAGAACCACATTGGTGTTTGAGGATTTGGTGCTGAAATTTCTGTTTCGTCGGTCGGTTTTGATGATTTTAGGAAATTGGCCAAAAATTGATTCTTGAAATCAATCCTTTTTTTAAGGATCACCACTTTTATGATTTCCTGATTTCTAGTTGATTTTGATTTTGATTTTTTTTTTTTTTTTTTGAGATTGACATGGCATCTGATGTGGCATTGAATAATAACTCGAATGCAAAAATAATTGGCTCTTGAAAATTAGTACCAAATAAAATCAAAWAGTCAATTTCTCAAAAAATGGATTATATGGAGAAATGATAGCAAACAACAAAATTCACTTGCTTTTGAAAAATCAGCAACATCAATGACAAACATCACCCTAGTTTAAATTCATGTACAACCCTAACAATTAAAACTAAAAGCATTGTTCTTTTTGTTGAATATTGATTTTCTGAAAATAATAAGTTTTCATCATTTTAAGAATGGCAGGAAAAAAAAACATATATAGTGCCCGTACGAGAGGTTTTTCACATATATAGAAAGCCTATAGGGCTATGTTTGATGAAAACCCCAAAAATCTATAATACAATTTAAAATAAATTGACTTTCTAATAAAACCATTTTCAATAGTTTTGATTTTTTGAAGGGCATTTGATAATGGTTGAAGTTTCTGAAAATTTTCAAGGATATTTTAATTGTTATTCAATTTGAATTTCAACTTCAACCGCTAATAAACTCAGAAGTTTCCTTATAAACAAACTTATTCACCAGAAGATATTTCAGCATGGTTTTTCAAATCGTTGTTGATAGGGTTGGATTGGTCGAACCGTTCAGCTCAGGAATTATTTAGGCAATTAGTTCAATTTTACTCTAAATCTGATTTTGATAAAAACTATTGAATCGATTAATAATTCATCGACTTAGGTGATTGAACTGTTGACCCATCAAACGGTTTTGACTGTTTTTTTATTTTTAATTTTTAATTTTTATTATTAAAACGGAGCATCATCAAATCGAACGATCAAACTGTCGACCTAAAAACCAGTGACAAAAAAGATCCCGTTTCCTGATGGTTTTTTAAAACCATGCATTTCTGTTTATCATCTTCGACTTTTATGAGACGGCTCTCAATTAAAAAAAGAAGTATTCATGAATGGGTGGCTCCAAACGTTGACATCATGCCGCTACTCACGACGTGTAGCTCTAAATGACCAACTCTTCACGGAACACGTGTATGGGTCCCTTCCTGATGTGACAACCGAATATTCCGTGAACGCTCCTAATTCTGTAATCCTCCGATACACCAAATGGAAAGCTATCAACTATGGAAGCGAAGCAGCTTCCCGGGGAGTTTAATTTTTAATTTTTTATCCTCTCCTGCTTATCAACGACAAAAGAATTCCTGTAAAGCTGGTCCACGTTCTCAAGGCACCGTATTCAAACACGGGTTGATTAACTCGTATGGGTAGCATCCATCCCCATTCCTTTTTGTACTCTTCCTTTATGGCAAATTGGCAATTACCAACCAACCATTGTGGGAAGGACAAAACAGACAAGTACAAAGTACAAGAGGGTTATATTATAACTCTGTTTTGTGGGATCCACATAAGATCCTTACTGTCTATGTGTCGTGGGTCCCAGGATTCCAATCTGACGGACAAAGACGATGAAAGAGGTTTCTTACATGGGAGACATATCACCTAATCAAAATGTCCAATATGATAACCGGTGTTTCATTATTAAGAAAAAAAATTATAAATAGATATCTTGTATTTTAGGCTAATGACACCTAAAAGGGTTTCAAAACTTTCAAGTGAGAAAATTAAATATGTTTCAACATTCAAAAATCTAGCATCCTTTAAGTATGTCTTCCAGCATCGATGTAGATTTAATTTCCACAATCACGAATACGAAAGGGGTTATGAGTGGTGCGTATCATCATCAAATATAAAAGAAATGATAAGGTTAATCTTGTTGAATCTGTTTGAGAGAATGATAGATGTATGATTTAATTTGTTGAATCTGTTTGAGAGAATGGTGAAATGATCTCATAAATATGTAAGGGGTGATTTAGGGGTTTTGAAGGAGTATCTTCTGTGATTTATTTGGGTATCTTCTGTTTTTGATAAATTATAATAATTATTATTAAAAACTCCATTTTTTATATTTGGTGACATGCCCAAATCCCTCATAAGAGCCGTTTGAATAACACAACACCACATTAATAAACCCCCCTCTCCTCAAAATAAGTCGCAACCAGAAACCAGTCCATGTCTTTACTAGAATAAATTAGTTAAGATACCAATTGACCCACCCTTCACATGGCGCACCCCATATTTTTAGACTACTGAAATTAATAACCAATTGTGGTTAGTTAAGATACCAATTGACCCACCCTTCAGATCGCGCATCCCTATTTTTAGACTACTGAATTTAATAACCAATTGTGGTTTTTTTGTCTTTTTTTAATAGATAATTAGTAAGTGTATACGTGCATTTATTTACATGTGGCAGTATCAAATGATGATAACAATAATAGTATTTTACTGTTTTTATTAGAATTCATGGTGCATGCCAAGAATTCTGGCATCAATAGATTTTGTGTCATGGATAC